GAGTGATGACTACTAGACTTGCGCTGAGCTTTTGAGGTACGTGCGAGGGCTGTTGGGAAGATACAGCCTGATGTGATGCTATCGGTGCTGGCTGAACTGGTGCCAGTGCTGGTGCCGGTGCTGGTATTGGTGCCGGCTGTGACAGTGCCGACAGGCTACTCGGTTCCAATATAGTTGCTGGCACTGATGTTGATAGTGCCGACCTCAGCAGCTGTATCCTCGGTGCCGCTGCTGACGCTGACTCAGATCTAGATGCTGCTGTGACCACCGGTACCAGTTCCCTCAGAAGGGCCGGACTCAGTGCCGATGTACTACAGCCCATCTTTTGCGTCTCAGGGCCTGGCTTGTTCCCCTGACTAACCCGCCTAGATGGTGAACGGAGGGAAGGAGATCTTTTTCTTGGGGTAGTCAGAGCAGGCTGATATCTAGCAGTTTCCGAAGACTCAGTGAGCGGGAAAGGGTCAGGCTCGTTGGGCTGCAGTGCTTTCTTGAAAAGCAGCATTTTGAGCCTCATTTCTCTATCCCGCCTGGCTTGCGCCATAAGTTTAGACCAGTGCGAGCATTTTTGAGGGATGTGACCTTGGCCGACGCATTTTATACATCAAGAGTGCCCATCCAAAGTGGGCATAGACTCCCGACATGTTGCATGTTTCTTGAATCCATGAGATCCTGGCATCATCGTGTAATGGCAGAATTGATGCTGAAGCATTTTTTTTTTAAACAAAGACTATTCTAACTATAACAATTACAACTATTAACTATTGAACTATGCAAGAAGAACGGTAACAACTAAGTAAGCTAATATATCTTTCTTTCTTCTTCTCTTCAGGATCTGAGGAGAAAGCTTCACTCCATCTACAATCGTGGCTGGTTAGGAGGAACTGGCGGGAGCTGTACCGCGTGCTCACAAATGGTGCGAATGGCACGAGGTGCCTAAAACACATGCACAGTCCAGATGGACTACTGCTGATGAATCTCTGATTTGTGGCGCCAGGTCGAGCCTGACACATACAGTGGAGCACCCACGGGGACACTACTTGAAGAAGTAGGGTCACTTATTGTAACCCTCTGCCAAGATGCAGGATTTGTTCAGTCTAACCTATCCCAGACAGATAGTTGTCCAGCCTCCTTTTGAAAACCCCTGGGGAAGAGCTTCCATGACATATCAAGCCAACCCTACATTAGAAGTTTTTCCCATGATTTAGTCTAAATCTGCTATACAGTAGCTTGAGTCCATTGCCTCTTGTCCAGCTCTCTGGGGCAAGAGAACACACTTTTTCTCCATTCTTTTTTTTATGTCTGCCTTTCATGGGTTGCTGGTATGTTAAGCAAAGGAAGTCACTGCCTTCTCAAACTGCCAGGCTGGCCTCGCCCATGCTCTGCCACCAGAACGCCTACTGGAGGCAAAGTGTTGCTGCCCCCAGCACCTGCCCTTCTCATGCTCTTGGCCAGGGAGACTGGAATCATGCACCGCCTGCTCCCTGTTCTCCAGACCCAGAACACTGGAGCTGCACACCCTCCAGGGTGGGGAGGTTGGGATTGCATACCCTCCTCACTCCCCATGCTCTGGGGCTGGGGAAGCTGAAGCCGTGTCTATAACCCAGTTCTCCAATTTCTGAAGATCCTTTTGAATGTTAGCTCTATCCACAAAAGTCAACAAATAAAAGAATTACAAAACATCACATGATTCCAGCACAAGTGAAAGTGTGAGGGATGTAACTTAAACAACAGCTGGGTAATGGTTTGTCTGCCAGTACGTTGAGATGTCTTTGCAGTCATTACAGTGTTTATCTGAAAATGCTCTGATGCTAAATACAGATTGCTTGAAAAGCTCCTGTTCTCTTCACTGACCAGCTCCCATCCACGCACCCACTCATGCATCAATCATGGGTATACTACAGACTGTCAAAACTGTGTAACAAGCATCATAGAATCATAGAATAATAGGACCGGAAGGGACCTCAAGAGGTCATTGAGTCCAGCCTCCCATCCTCAAGGCAGGACCAAGCTCCGTCTACACCATCCCTGACAGATGTCTATCTAACCTGTTCTTAAATATCTCCAGAGAGGGAGATTCCACCACCTCCCTTGGCAATTTATTCCAATATTTGACCACCCATCAAACTGCACAGTCTGCACTAGACTTTGAGGGGAAGCTTTTTGTCTCATGCAGTATGCAACTGCAAAGGGAAAAAAATTACGGGACAAATAGTTAGAGGAAAAGACTGATACAATCAACATGTGATGAAGTGATTGAAATGTCAAAGTGTCAATAAAGAGGAATTAATGGCTGCTTTACTTTTAAGTGCAAGGGAACTGTTCGAAGAAGAAAACAAGTATCCACAAAGGCAGTTATCAGGCTGCTCTTTCAGGCTGAGGAGAGAGGACTTATTTAAAAAATATAAGACAAGCCATATGTGTGGGCTCTGTACATGATGGGGAGATGTGATTGGAACAATGCTCATAAGACCATAACAGCGGCCATACTGGGTCAGACCAAAGGTCCATCTAACTTAGTAGCCTGTCTTTCAACAGTGGCCAATGCCACTTCAGAGGGAGGGATCACAACAGGTAATCCTCATGTGATCCCTCCCCTGTCACCCACCTCCAGAGACTAGGGACACTATTCCTACCTATCTCTGGCTAATAGCCATTGATGGCCCTAACCTCCACAAATCTATCAAGCTCTTTTTAAAGCCTGTTAAAGTTCTTGCCTTCACTGCATCCTCTGGCAAGGAGTTCCACAGGTTGACTGTGTGCTGAGTGAAGAAAATCCTCCTTTTGTTTGTTTTAAACCTGCTGCCTATTAATTTCATTTGGTAATCCCTAGTTCTTTGGTTTTTGAGCAAGTAAGTAACTTTTCCTTATTCACTATTTCTATACCAGTCATGATTTTATAGACCTCTATCATACTCCTCCCCGTTAGCCTCCTCTTTTCTAAGCTGAAAAGTCCAATTCTTTTTAATCTTTCTTCATATGGACCTGCTCCAAACCCCTAATCATTTTTGTTGCTCTTTTCTGAACCTTTTCCAATGGTGGAACTACTCCACAGAACTAAATTATTTGCCCCAAACAAAATGGATGGACAGTAGGGATGGTCCAGCTGGTTCCAGGAAACCAAGAACTTCCCTGTTAGTCTTCATCCAGAGTCAAACTGAATACTGAAGTGGGGTTAGTTTGGTTTTCCCATTGTTCAGAGGTTCTGGTAAAGTTTACAAATGCAAATGCTGAAATACCACAGGAAAATTTTTGTCACAGGATTTCCAGTTTAAAAAACAAACCATGGAAAGTACTAGTAAGCTGTGCTTATTAGCATGAGGCACCCCACTGAAGTAAAGCACCATGCCCAGTAATAAGTGTTGGTGGGACTAAATTCCAATTTTGCAGAACTTTGTGAGGGGGTTATGCCCTCCCCCTATTAAAGAGGAAGCTCTTCCAGGGTCAGCTAGTACAGACCAGCCACGACTGTAGGAGGGAAGAAACTTAAAAAAAGAAAAGATGCCACAGAAAGTGACAGCAATCAGCAAAAGACTACTGTGCTTCCGATTCAGCTGCCTACAAGGTAGGATCATTGAAGAGAGAGACAGCCATGGAAAATTCTGCCCTGGAGACTGCCTGAACCAGGCACAGAATGGAGGATACCAAAAGGGATGAGGTGGTCTAAAGATTCCAACCTTGAGCAGGACACTAAAAGGCCTAAGACAGGACCCAAACAGGTGACGAAGAGAATGCCCAAGAATCTGAGCACCTTCTTTCCTTTTGATCCTCCCTGTCCTCAAGGAGGAGGAAAGATCTTAAGGGCTACGTCCGGAAATGCTTAAAACGGAACAGTTTTCCGTTATAAGTATTTCCGGAAAAAGCGCGTCTACATTGGCAGGATGCTTTTCCGGAAAAGCACTTTTTTCGGAAAAGCGTCCGTGGCCAATCTAGACGCGCTTTTCCACAAAAAAGCCCCGATCATCATTTTTGCGATCGGGGCTTTTTCGCGGAAAACATTACTGTGCTGTCTACACTGTCCCTTTTCCGGAACAGTTTTCTGGAAAAAGGACTTTTGCCCGAGCGGGAGCAGCATAGTATTTCCGGAAAAGCGGCTGATTTCTTACTGTAGATCTTCAGTGCTTTTCCGGAAATTCAAGGGGCCAGTGTAGACAGCTGGCAAGTTATTCCGGAAAAGCGGCTGATTTTCTGGAATAAGTGGCCAGTGTAGACACAGCCCTTTTGTTTTGTTTTGTTTTGGGAGACTCTGAAACACCGTGAGCGGGGGAAGGACTCTACCAGTTCCAGAGAAGGGAAGCAACCTAACATGTGGTCTCAAGACTCAATCTCCTATAAGTTCTTGTGGCAATTTTGCATGGTGGTGATCTATGCACCTCAAAGGTGGAAACTTCACATAAAAATGGCACTAGCACATGTATACTGATGTCTAGTTTAAAGGTTCTACGCTCAACGTCTAACTACTCAGTCTATGCACACAAATCCAAGTTTTAGGATTACTCAACCTTCTCCCCACCACCAAAAAAAAAAAAAAAAAAGACCTTTTAAAACATAAATTGCCTTCCTCAGTGCAAAAATTGGATAATTAAAAATTTTAAAATACCAATATCAGAAAACTCTTCAAAAGGTCACATGATATGAATTAACTTAGGTATTTGTATGCACACTACACAATAAACAGGACACAACGTATTGCAGTATTTACACAAATTTAATTATAAAATTATTCATATTTACAATATATAATATTATGGATTGGCCCAGAGACCAAGTCTAGAAGTATATTGTATAAATTGTTTTGCAAACACAGAACAGAGATAATATTTGCCCTAGATTATTGTCTAGGAGAATCTAAATTACTTTGAGAGTGAGGAAAGGGTTAAGCAACTCTGGAGATGCACCTGAGGGAGGGGGCTTTGGGCACTGAGCAAATGAAATGCAAATAAGGAATTTAAAACTGATAGAGGGTTTTTTTTCTTTCTTTGTTTTGGGTCAGAGCAGTTTTTCCCCAGGTAGCAGGAGAGATGGAACTTCCCAGAACTTCTTGAATTCACTGAAATGTGTAAGTAGCATGAGGCACCCCGCTGAAATAAAGCACCATGCCCAGTAATAAGTGTTGGTGGGACTAAATTCCAATTTTGCAGATCTTTGTGAGGGGGTTATGCCCTCCCCCTATTAAAGAGGAAGCTCTTCCAGAGTCAGCTAGTACAGACCAGCCACAAAAGTTCCCTATCTAAACTTAGGGAAAAGTTTAGATAGTCCATCAGATTTTTATTGTATTCCTTGTTAGGGGTTTTGGAAATCATGTCCCAGCTGGTTAATTGTTTTTTTTTCTTTTGTAACTAAGGATTACAGCTCAGGGAGTCAGTCTCTCTCAGTCTGTTTCACTCCATGGCTTTTAACACTCAATCATTTTCTATGCTTGCAACAGTAGTCTTGTTTTAATAATAAAAGGGGTTTCTTTTTGTTTTGGTTAACTGGTTGATATTGGTTGATTTTTGTGTCCTTAAATCTACCTGCCTAAATTACCCGGGAGGAGCAGAGCCCCATTGTTCTCTGCAAATTATCTCTGTTTGTTTTCCTAACTCTAAGCAAAACTGAGGTTGGTGTAGGGGGGAGAGCTTTGCCTCAGGGAGGGGATTCCAAGTGGTAGCAGCATCCAATCATCTTTCTTTTTGGGTCTCAAGGGAACTTGAGACTGGACAAGTTTGTCTCTGGGAGTTACAGAGACAGGTTTTTACAGAGTTTTTTCTGCTAGCTGGCCCCCATATCGACACTCGAAGTGCCAGGATGGGGAATTGAGCCATGACACTCATATACAAAAGCTCTTCTTGTATATGCAGTATTCTCCAGTTACATGCTTTTGAGAAACCCACATTATTCAAAACTCACTTAAGTCTTTCCTCAGGCCAAATTGCCACTTGCTTATAAGTTCTCCAGAATAGGAGCTGTCATTATTGTGTATTTGTATAGTGCCCATATCAGTGGTGAGCTACTTGAATCCCATCAGGGTTCTATGTGCGATCTACAAGACATTTTGTTAATTGTTGCTCACCCACAGGGCTGTCATATTTTGCTGGTTTCTGTCCATGTTTTTTTTCCTTCTGGTATTACTAAAGTGACATGCATGTAAAGCAAAGGCACACAAAGTGAGATGCGTGCTAATTACACACAGTCAAAGGAGCTGTGTGCTTCCTCTGCATTCCATCAAAGTGCTGCTATGGATCAATTGGCACACCCCACAAATTCTAGGTTCACAAGTTCAATCAGCAAAACTACTACCTTACATACAAAAATCATATTGTAGTAGCACCTAAAGCCAATGCTGGAGTTGAGATTTCCTGTGCCAGGCACTGCACTTTATGGACCAATAATGGGCAACCTAAGCTAGTGAGTGGACCTCACAGTGTCCCTCCTTCATCTCAGCAGGCTACAAGTGTGTTGTAACCAAGATGGTTTCCCAGGATAAGGTATCAAGTATCAGAGGGGTAGCGGTGTTAGTCTGAATCTGCAAAAGCGGCGAGGAGTCCTGTGGCACCTTATAGACTAACTGAAGTGTAGGAGCATAAGCTTTCGTGGGCAAAGACCCACTTTGTCAGATGCATGTCTGGGTCTTTGCCCACGAAAGTGGGTCTTTGCCCACGAAAGCTTATGCTCCTACACTTCAATTAGTCTATAAGGTGCCACAGGACTCCTCGCCGCTTTTGCAGATTCAGACTAACACCGCTACCCCTCTGATACTTGATACCTTATCCTGGGAAACCATCTTGGTTACAACACACTTGTAGCCTGCTGAGATGAAGGAGGGACACTGTGAGGTCCACTCACTAGCTTAGGTTGCCCATTATTGGTCCATAAAGTGCAGTGCCTGGCACAGGAAATCTCAACTCCAGCATTGGCTTTAGGTGCTACTACAATATGATTTTTGTATGTAAAGTTATGAATATAGGCTCTGTACTAGTATTTGAATGTTCCCAGTCTGGGAGAGAGCAATGAGCCTCCACCATCTATTGTGAGGAATGGTTATCCAATGACTGGTGATGCTAATTAGCAATGCTGCATACACAAAGGCTCTCAAGGTTGCCAATAAAGCCCTGAGGAATGCGTCTGGAACCACCAGTACATCATGGCTACTTGCATGAAAGACAGAGACAGGTCACTTGATCAGGTGACCAGCTCCAGTTTGGGAGGCACCAGAAATATAAAAGTACCATGAGGACATCTCCATCTTGTCTTCAATCCTGCTCCTGATTACAGAAGCATCCTTGCTAGGGACAGAGGGCTGGGAAGGATTTGCTGACCCATCCTAACATAGGATGTACTCCAGAGACTTTTAAGTTGGCAGTTTGTTACATTTCTGCTAAGAGCCTGCATCAAGAACTTGTTGATTGATGTATGTGATGTATTCTCCTTAATCTCACTCTCATCCTTTCCTTTCTTTTATTAATAAACCTTTAGATTTTAGATTCTAAAGGATTGGGCCAGAGTGATCTTTTGGGCAAGATACAAGGTATACATTGACCTGGGTATAAATTATACCTGGTTCTTTGGGACTGGAAGAACCTGTTCAGAGTTGGTGAGAGTGGGTTTATAGCCTCTTACCTGTATAAGGTGTATGTCTGTTTGGGGCACAGGAAACTCTGGGGTGTGTAAGGGATTTTGCTTGTGAGGCTTCCTGCTGGCCAGACTGGCAGCTGAAATGTTCTGTGTGACTCGGTGGTGCCTTATAGGGAGGATCCCAGCCTTGGGCTGTAAGTAGTCCTGGTTTTGAGCAGTTTGCCCTGAACTGACCCTCTCAGCGGTGCCAAGACCGATTTGTTATATTACAAGCCATATGTCAGAAGAATCTCAGAGTTTAGCTCTTTTTAAAGAACATATTCACCAGTCATTTGCGAATGCTGCATCAGATTCTTGGCCAAATTTCCTAATAATTTCATTAGTCACTGGCCTCCCTAATAGTATTTACAAAGAGAAAGATAAAAAAATATGGTGTTCATTTATCATCTAATATGCTCCACTTGAAAACTTTAGCTCACATCCCTGCATCCCTGGAGGTATGTATGGGTGTGTGTGATGTTATAGACACATATGTATAAAAACACAATTGCAGCTTTACTTCTTTTCACGTCACACAGAAGTTGGAAATAAATTCAATATGTAAGCACTATTATTTTAAAATTGTTCGTAAAAATTTAGCCTAATAACTTCAATGGCATCACTACATAAAAAAGGATTCTCACTCAATTGCAACAACTATTTCCCGACATTAAAACAGTTACAATGGGAGTTCAAGGTGCTCAGCCCCCAGCAGAAAGTGCTCAGCACTTTCTGTGGATCAGCAGAAAATGCAAATTTCTTTTTCCTGGAGAAAACAAGAAAGTACACCATCTGGGTAATAGTATCACACACATCTATCTATCTATCACAAGAAATATAAAGTCTGACCACATTTCAACCTGCAGCTATTATCTAGGTACCAAGATAACACAGTCACTGGAAAGAAGACACAATCAAATAAACACTTTTATTCACTAGTTTGGCTATAAATAAAACCTTTAAAAAGATTCATGCAATGAAAACTACTGTATGATGAATAAACGAGTCAAACAGGCACCTGATAGTAGACGCAAAATCTACTTTAATGCAATATTAAGACTATTTAGCTTAAATTATAGAAAGTAATAACATAAAAAATACAGAGCTTCTACTTAAATGTTAACTAAGCCACGTGGCACCTCTGAGATATATTATGGTATATATTCAAGAACAAACAGCACAATAGTACACTCTGTATTTAACAAGACCAGAAAAAAATATTACATATGAAATCTGACAGAGCTAGGAATACTATAAGAACCTTTAGACAAAATATTATAATGTATACTGATATAAATCCAGAGAAATTCCTTTGAAATATTGCATGCATCATATGGGTAGCAACTCCAGGGTTCAATCATCCAGAAAACAAGTGTTCCCAACTCTCAATCTTTGCTTCCCCTAACGAAGAGTTAAGAACACACAAATAATACATTCCATTGCTGGGGCACAATATGTCTAATGGTCTGAAAGCATTGGCAATAATTACTAATTATTTGACAGAAAGAAACACTGACATTAAGTCAGTCTTTGAAGGTACTTTGCAAGAGGAGCTCTGTATGTCATAAAATAGGGTACTAATGAGCTGGGTGGGAAGAGTAACAATAAGAAGAAGTGGCACATTTATGAGGTTTCCTCTTTATGCATCTGAATAGTTTTACTCCTTATTTGTTGAGTGCTGTCTCTGTGCTCAATTGGGCACTTTGTGGTAAATTGAGATTTTTGTATGGCAACATTTCATAGAAATATCAGACAGAACAAGTGGAGTGGGTTACTACATTGTTCTAACAGGGCAGTCACATGTACTAGTTGTTAAACCAAAGCCTCAAATCTGAAGACCTGGATCTGTTCCACACTCTGCTCCTCTGTAGGTATGTCTACACTACCCCGCTAGTTCGAACTAGCGGGGTAGTGTAGACATACCTACAGAGGAGCAGAGTGTGGAACAGATCCAGGTCTTCAGATTTGAGGCTTTGGTTTAACAACTAGTACATGTGACTGCCCTGTTAGAACAATGTAGTAACCCACTCCACTTGTTCTGTCTGATATTTCTATGAAATGTTGCCATACAAAAATCTCAATTTACCACAAAGTGCCCAATTGAGCACAGAGACAGCACTCAACAAATAAGGAGTAAAACTATTCAGATGCATAAAGAGGAAACCTCATAAATGTGCCACTTCTTCTTATTGTTACTCTTCCCACCCAGCTCATTAGTACCCTATTTTATGACATACAGAGCTCCTCTTGCAAAGTACCTTCAACTATCACTGGCTTCAGGGGGAATTGAGGGCATTTGGCCATCTTGCAGAATCAGATTCCTTAGCTGTTGACTGTAATAAGATCTGTTAGAATATGAGGCCAGAAGTAGCTATGAAGAAGTAGCTTCAATAGCTATTTTAACACTTATGGCCCAATTCTGCAAAAGTTCACAGTATCAGTTGTTCAGAAGGATGGTTTTAGTGACTTCAGTGAGGCTACACTGGTGAGGAAGTTCTACCTAACATGAGGTAGATTATAGATTCGGACCCATCACAAAAAGAAACTTCGGCAGCTGAGGAAAGGCTGCAAATGATTTGAAAGAAAAAGAAAAGAATTACTTCAAGAAGCACAGAGGTGAATTTGAGAAATGGAAGCCACAAATAATGTCTGGCACAGAAGCACAGTCAATGCAGTTGTTCTTAACAATCTGTCAGTAGATCTATTTGAAAACCTATTTTTCAGGAGTGATAACTCATACAATTCAAATTTGCTTCAGGGTTAAAACTTGGCATATAAGGTCTTGACAAGGAGCCAGTTTCATTAAAAAATAAAATTAGTGCTGTTTTTTCTAAACTTGAAAATAAACTATTATCTTTGTAAGCAGTCCAAGAGGCAAAATAGTCAAATAAATGCAATTCTTTCTGGCAGTCTTTGTCCACCTGGAATCCATACCTAATTCCCCCAAACACTTGCTTTCATGTTATTGGATAATTTGCCAAAAAGAAAAATTAAAATGCATCAAAACAATTGTATTCGCTTTAAAAATGAGCTATGGAATTGCAAGAGAGATTTGCATGTTTGGGGCACCAAGATATTCTGCAACATACAGGAAGAAAGAAGGTTCCAAGTTTTAACTCTGGTTTACTAGAGTATGGAGAGTGAAATGAATTCAAGGATTATCCTTATCATGGGGCTACCCTTTTTTCAAATTCACATAACAAAGCAATTATTTGGAACCCACATAACTCCATTACAGCTGTGCAGAACATTGGCAACAAAACCCTGAAACAGATGAAACTTGGTCAGTTTGGGATCCAAATATGAAATTCATATTAAATGTAACCAAACATGTAGTGTGATTTGTGTGTAGCTGGGCTTAGTATTAAGCAAATTGTTTTTCTTTTATGACTCTAATCTGTACCCAGGCAAAACTCTTCCTTTCATGGGGCTTTAACTTGAAATTTGAAGCCATGTATTACTTAACTTTATGAGCCTTGAGGCATAAAAAGACCTGCCTTTTCCCTTTTTCTATAAAGTGTCGCCTGTACATTATTCAAATAATCATGGTGATTAACAACAGTCAGACAATGTTTTGGTCATTTCACTTTTTTAATCATAAGTTGAAGCCTCTAAAAGGGAGCTTATACACAGCAGTCTATGCTGACTCAATAGTATATGATGCATCAAACTATTCCTACTTTTGTCAGATTTGAGCTGCAGATAAGGGAAGCCTCAGTTCTCTTCCCACCTCCTGCATACCACATTGCCAACCATACATTATTACATGGGGTTTAGTCCTCAAATATAATCTCTGTTTGCCAGAACTGAAAATCTGAAGGTAGGGGGCAGGAACTAAGACACTTTTGCATCTTTCTGATGCCTGGTTCTGCCCCTGCTGCAAGCTAGGGCAACCTGGAGGTTGCTCTAAATTGTGCCAGCTACCCTGTGGTCCACAAGCTGTGCTTGTCACTTTCTCTGTTTCTGACTGTAAATATGTTCCCTTTTCAAAGGGTGGCATAAGGATTGTGATCTCGTCGTACCCATACTGTGCCTTTGGTGGAGTAAATGTCAATTGGCTGTTTAAGCCAACATGATGGACCAGCCATGAAAAGGGTCAGAGTAGGGCCCAAAAAAAGGTCCACAGATTTTTAAACACATACAATTCAGTTTATGAAATAGGCAAATTTCTGTCATATATAGTCTCGAGAAAAAGGGTACAACTTTCATAGAAAATCATGGGCAAATCCACAGGCAGTGGTGTCTGTTGATCATAAATTGTGTATAAATAGGTGAAAGCAGCAAAACAGTGCAACTTTTACTTTCCTCACCTTCCAAAGGTAAGCTAAATGAGTAATTTAACTGGTCAAGAGGAACGGCAGTAGTAAGGATTAAAACTAGCTGGAAGTTATAATGTAAAGCAACCCCTAGTCCACTTTAATTTATGACTATAATTTCCAATGCTTTGGATCAAATTCTATTCTCAGTTACACCTGTGTACATGTAAAATCTATGAGTTACATGCAGAAATCTATGCTCTGAAATCTATGCAATTACTGTTCATTTACAACTAGGAGAGTTGCAATTTCAAACTGACATTTCTGCATACACTGACTTGTTCTGAGGACACGTGTGGGTACAATTCATGAAACAATGAAAAAAATAGAATGAAACTGAAGAAATAAAAATGTAGGTCCTTTAAGCAAATGATAAAGGAAAAAACCATATATAACACCTGTCCCTCCCCCATACAACTATAATGAACATGCTGAAGAAAAATAATCTCCAGCTAGGTACTTACAAGTAATAGGAGTAGGAATAAGCATTTCTTCTAAACATTGGTGGGCAGTCAGATGAAGAAAATGTCCAAAGGGGGGAGGGAGAAGAAAAAAAAGCCATAATTAGACTTATATGAAATCTTTATTTGAAATGTACACAGTTTTTCAGTGCCATCACTCATAATGATTTACTTGCTTCTTTCCCCAAGATTTTCCTGAGAACCAGCATGGTGCTCTGGAAAGCATGCTGGATTTAGATGCAGGAGATTTGGGTTTTGTTCCCAGTTCTGCTGCTGACTAGCTGTGTTCCCTTGGACAACTGAATTTACCTTTCTGGGACTTAGTTTCCCCAACTGAAAAATGTGAATGAAGATATATACTTAATTCAATAAAATACGTTGAGATCTTTGGATGAAAAGAATTATATAAAAGCTAAATATTATTATATGAAACAGAATGGAATGATGAGTAAATATTGTGCATACTTTGAATACCTACCTATCTGAATAGACAAAGCACTGAATAATCAAGTTTATTGTGCATTGATTCGGGTATCACAAAAAGGATGGTGGGTTGGTCCTAACTCATTAATGTGCTGTCACTAATTAACTGTCGATGCTTGTTAAGCATTTCCTATTACAAATTCAGCACATTTTGATACACTGTGTCACAAATATGTCAAACATGTGTAGCATAACACATGGGCTACGTCTAGACTGGCATGAATTTCCGAAAATGCTTTTAACCGAAAAGTTTTCCGTTAAAAGCATTTTCGGAAAAGCACGTCTAGATTGGCAGGATGCTTTTCCGCAAAAGCACTTTTTGTGGAAAAGTGTCCATGGCCAATCTAGATGCGGTTTTCTGCAAAAAAGCCCCGATCGCCATTTTCGCGATCGGGGCTTTTTTTCGGAAAACAGTACTATGCTGTCTACACTGGCCCTAGCGCGCATAAGTCTTTCGGAAAAAGACTTTTGCCCGAATGGGAGCAGCATAGTATTTCTGGAAAAGCACTGATGATTTTACATTAGATCGTCAGTGCTTTTCCAGAAATTCAAGCGGCCAGTGTAGACAGTGTAGACAGCTGGCCAGTGTAGACAGCTGGCAAGTTTTTCCGCAAAATCAAATGATTTTGCAGAAAAACTTGCCAGTCTAGACACAGCCATGGAGTTTTCCCCACTGTAGAACAATAGAGAAGCAAAGAGCTTCTTATTATAGGGTACACCACAAGATAATGGCAAAAAGTACTGAAACATATGGTAATATAAAATTGTAGTCTGTGGGCACCGTAGAGCCTAACAAATGTTATACATATATGAGATCCTTCACATAAATGGAATGCTGATCATCATGACAGGCTGAGTCTTGGCAGAAAAGAGTGAGGAAAAAACACAAACTGCAACTTACTACAACTTGACCTTTGTTGTTTTGTCCACTATAAATATTGGAAAAACTTAAAAAACAACAAATAGTCTAGTAGCACCTTAACAACTAACAAAACATGTAGATGGTATCATGAGCTTTTGTGGGCGCAACCAACTTTTCAGATGACTAGAGTATTAGGAGTCCATATCCAAGAATAAATAACTAGGGGGAGGGGAGGGGAGAAAAAGGGGGGCAGAGCCACCTGGGGAGACAGCTGGGGAGCCTTTACAGTGAGTAAATGTAAAAAACAACAAATAGTCTGGTAACACTTTAAATGATAACAAAACCTGTAGATGGTATCATGAGCTTTCGTGGGCACAGTCTGTTTCTTCAGATGACCAGAGTGTTGGATGTCCAGAACTAAAATAAATAGGGGAGAAGGGTTCAAATGGTTGAAATGGTTCAAGTAGCTATAAGAGGCTGATAGGAACAATTAACACCTCCATTGTTTGGTTGGTTGGTTAAGCCATTAGGACATGGGAGGTAGTGTGCGAGCCAGCTGTTGTCCCTGTTCATACCATTTGTATAAGATAAGGTGATAATTGTTCTTATCAGTCTCTTGTAACTACTTGAACCATCTACCCACTCTCTTTTCTCTCTCTCTCTCTTTCTTTTTTTCACCCTCCTTTTTTCCTCCTCCCTCCTCCTCCCCTTATTTATTATTGGATCTGGACTTCTAATACTCCAGTCATCTGAAGAAGTGGGTTGTGCCCACGAAAGCTCGTGATAGCATCTTCATGTTTTGTTAGTCTTTAAGATGCTACTAGACTATTTGTTGTTTTTTAAGTTTTTCCTGTTAGACTAACTCAGCTACCCCTCTGAAGCTTTTGAACATACAAGACACTGCATTCATCCCTACGGAGTGCAAATCCATCAACACAAAGAAACTCGCACAGATCCAAACAGACATCATTTTCCTTTCCAAGTGCACATAGATGAACAACACACCTAAGGGACTGAGAGTGAAAAACCCACCTCAATCTACATATCCCACAGACTAGAGCCAGAACTTATGCCACACTCTCGCAAAGAAACTGAGGAACCATCTTATCAGCATTCTATACATCAAACAGAAGAAAATCAAGGAAGAGCTCTCAACATTAGAAACTATCATAAAAAACCAAGCTTCCACACACACTTCATCTTTTCCAGACTTTCCTAAAATTCAACAAACCACCTATAAGGATTACTTCATCTTCCTTCAAAAGAAAAAGGACAATAAACTATACAAACTCCTACATGCCTCAGGATCTCTCATTCCCGATACTTTCAACTCACCTAGCAACATTGTCAACTTACTCAACCACTCTCTTAGCCCAGCAGAGGAATCTGTCTTATATTGAGGACTCTTCTTCTGCCCCACTACCCCTACAAACATGGTTCAGTTCTGTGGAGATCTGGAAGCCTATTTTCACCACCTCCACCTAAAGGAATATTTCCAACACTCCGATGTACAACAAAATGACCCCCCCCCCACTTCCAATCCCACAAGAGGAAGGCTTTTATGTGGACCCCTACTAACAGTCATAATGAAAGTTTTGACTTCTACATCGACTGCTTCCGCAAACGTGCTCAAGCTGACATTGTCAGCAAACAACATCAAGTAACATATAACTTCAGTTATGCAGAATGCAATGCTATCCACAGGCTCAAAAACAATTCTAGCATCATAATCAAAGAGGCTGACAAAAAGGGTGCTGTAGTTATCATGAACAGAACAGGTTATGAACAGGAGGCAATCAGACAACTCACCAACACCAGGTTCTACAAGCTTCTCTCTTGTGATTCCACTAAAGAATACCAAAAAATCCTGAAACAACTGCTCATGAAGTTCCTGGATGCTGCTCAGGAACAAATGTACACTAACACCCCCCTATTCCCCGACAAGGAGTTTTCTATCTGCTATTCAAGATATACAAACCTGGAAATCCCGGACGACCCATCATCTCAACCATTGGGACACTTACAGCAGGATTATCTGTCGATATTGACTCTCTCTTCAGACCCTATACTACCAGCACTCCTACCTATCTTCGAGACACCACCAACTTCCTGAGGAAACTACAAACCATCAGTAATCTTCCTGAAAACACCATCCTGGATATCATGGGCATAGAAGCCCTTTACACCAACATTCCACATGAAGACGGATTACAGGCTATCAGGAACATGATCCCCGATAACACCTCTGCACACCTGGTTACAGAGCTCTGTGACTTTGTCCTCACCCACAACTACTTCTGATTCGGAGACAATTTGTATCTTGAAGTCAGTGGCACGGCCACGGGCACCTGCATGGCACCACAATATGTCAACATCTTTATGGCTGACCTTTCCTCAGCTCTTGACCCCAGCATCCTTACTCTATTTACGCTATATTGATGACATCTTTATCATATGGAGCCATGGGAAATAGACGCATGAAGAATTCCAGAGCGATTTCAACAACTTCCACCCCACCATCTTCCTCAGCCTGGATCACTCCACACAACAGATTCACTTCCTTGATACTACAGTACAATTAAATGATGGACAATTTTCCACCATCTTATACCAGAAACCTACCGACCACTACACATGCCTCTAACTTCCATCCCAGACACATTTCTTAATCGATTGTACACAGCTAAGCCCTAAGATACAACTGGATTTGCTCCAATCCCACAGACAAACGCCTAAATGATCTGTATAGAGCATTCCTAAAAATGAAATACCCACCTGGAGAAATGAAAAAACAGATTGACAGAGCCAAAAAAGTACCCAGACATAAATTACTTCAAGACAGGCCCCAAAGAAAAAACAACAGAATTACACTTGTCATTACCTACAGTCTACAACTTAAACCCCTCCAATGCATAATCAGCAATCTACCACCTATCCTGGAAAATGACCCCTCATTTTCAGAGACCTTGGGGAAAAGCCAGGCCTCACCTACAGACAACCCCCTAACCTCAAACAAATTCTTTACAGTTACCACACAATACACCTCCATCATAATCATCCAGGCTCATTTAACTGTACATTCACTAATGTGATCTATGTCATCAAATGCCAACAATGTCCCACTGCCATGTATACTGGCCAAACTAGACCGTCTCTGCAGGAAAGAATTAAAGGACACTAATTATATATCTGAAAAGGCAATATACAAGAACCTGTTGGAAAACACTTTAATCTGCCTGGACACTCATTAACGGATCTCCAAGTCACCTTTTTGTTTCAGGCCAATTCCACAAGCCAAATACACAGGGAAGGACTGGAACTTAACTTCTTGAAGTTTAATTCTTATGCAAATGATATGAACAGGGACAGCGGCTGGCTCACACACTACCTTCCACATCCTAATGACTTAACCAACCAATGGAAGTGCTAATTGTTCTTATCACCCTCTTGTAACTACTTGAACCATCTACTCACTGTCTCTCTCTCTCTTTTCCCCCCTCCTTTTCTCTCTCTTTTTTTCCCTCCTTCTTCCCTTCCCTTATTTATTCTTGGATCTGGACTTCCATTATACAAGCTATTGGTGAGATGCCATTTGGAATACTGTGTGCAGATCTGGTCTCCCATGTTTAAGAAGGATGAATTCAAACTGGAACAGGTACAAAGAAGGGCCACTAGGATGATTTGAGGA